CCCATAAGACGAGTTCCAGTGTGAAGAACATGGCAGTGGACAGGACCTAGCCTACATTTGGCAGCCTGGGTGGACACCTAAAACAGCTATCAAGGCTTGCCAGCAGATGTGTGTGTGCCAGTACCTAGAGGCCTCTAAAGACTCTGCCCAAGCATGTAGGTCTGCCTCCTCAGTTGCTCTTTCTTTAATGCCCTGAGCACTGAATTTTGCTCATATGGGCAGGCTGACAGTGGGGGAATTGAGCCAACTGGGCAAAATTCCACACAGTATTTTATCACTTCAGTATAAGAAAGGTCTTTCTGAGTTGGACCAAAGGACTACTGAACCCATGCACTCTATTCAAATAATAGCAAGAAAAAATGCCTATGGGAAGCCGATAAGCAGGATGTTGGGGCAATTACATTTTTCCCCAAGCCTCCTCCCCAGCAATTGATGTAAAGAAGCATATTGCTTCTGGTACGCAAGCTAATATATGATCCTGCATTTCCCATCACTCTGAATAATTAGATAATCCTGTCTTCTGCTGTTATGAGACACTTGGCCTATCCACTTTTTTGACACCATGCATCACTGACACACACAATGGTATCATGTCTCCTTTATAGACCCTTTTCTACTCGAAACAGACCCCTGTAAGAGCATTGCTCTCTTGATTATTCTGGTTGTCTTCTGCAGAACTTCATTGCTATACAATTCTTTTTTCAGGAACATTACTTGACTTCATAATAGCCAAAATTCAACTGGCAGTTGCAACCACAGAAGACTGTTGTTTTTATTGTTGTGTGCCTTCAGGTACTTTCAGTGGAGCTCCCAGTGGCGCAATGGGTTAAACCCTTGTGCCAGCAGGACTGGTTGACCGACAGGTTGGTGATTCGAATCCAGAGAGCAGGGCAAGCTCCCGTATGTGACGCTCTAGCTTCCCATGTGGGGACAGGAGCCAAGTCTCCCACAGGATGGTAAAACATCAATCATCCGGGCGTCCCCTGGGCAACGTCCTTGCAGACGGCCAGTTCTCTCACACCATAAGTGACTTGCAGTTTCTCAAGTCACTTTTGACATGAAAAAAGGAAAAAAAAGGTAGTTTCAGACTTATGGCAATCCTAAGGTGAGTGACTGAGCATATCATGAAGTTTTTCTTGGCAAGATTTGTTCAGGGTCAGGTTATCTTTTCCTTCCTCTAATGCAGAAAGAGTGTGGCTTGTACAAGGTCATTCAGTAGGTTTCCATGGCCAAGCAGGGTTTTGAATTCTGGTCTCCAGAGTTGTAATTCAAAGTTCAAACCACTACAACACACTGGCTCTTCCCAGTAGACTAATTAATGAGTACAGTAGACTGACTTACCTCATCTCTACACAGACCAAATAAAATCTTGACAATATACAGCTAGTTCTGCAGCAGAAGTGCTTCTCCCAGTCTTTAATCTCTCCCAAGATGAACTGCACAAGATGAACTGCAGGTTATTTCAGGGCTTCCATGAAACCTCAGAATGATCCCTGGTGTTTTTGACATGTTCCAGATTGGATATGGAACAATCCAATCTCCACACATCAGAAAGACCCACTGATGTTTTACTGGCCAGAGGCAGCTCCCCAACACAGACTTGCTGGCAAAGTCACTTCTGGCGATAACAGAAGTGATGCTTTGCCAGCAGGAAGCAGCTCCATGGCAAAGCCTTGCTGGCTATGACCTTACCAGGAGTGACAATCAGCAAAGCTCTGCCATGGAGCTGCTTCTTGCTGGCAAAACAATAGTGGTGGGAAGATAGGGCACTAGTACTGAGGTGCTGAGTCTAGCCAACTATCTGGATTGCAAAGCAGCTTTGGGTACTTCCTGGTAAATGTGTGTGTATCTCCCATGGTGTATCTTTGCTAGTTCCAGAGCAGACCATTTATTACAAGAATTGGACATTATTTCTTTTCCTAGCAGCAAGGGCAGAGATATCTATATAGACAAATGTGTTTGTGATTGACAGGTAAAAAATAATTTGTATATTATTCCTAGAATGCTGTCTTGCAATGAAAACAGTTATAACATGGGAATTATGAGTCTTTTCTGGTGACATTTCTCATGTGCCTTGCCCAAGATCACTCAATGGTTTCTATAGCTGAGCAGGGATTCAAACCCTGATCTCCAAAATCTTAGTCCAATGCTCAAACCACTAAACCATGCTGACTTTCCTCACACTAAAAGGATTTCATTAAATCCAACATTTCTGCCCTTGTGTTGGATGTCTTGTCATTTACACTGTAGCATTCCTAAAAGAGTCATACACACTTTGGGATTTTAAAAACAGCAAACATTCTGTACCATCAAGACCCATGATGGAGAAATGACTGGAATGTTTAGCCATATCACATGGAAATCTATCCTGCCCTCCCCCCCCCAATACACCTACACCCACTGCATGCATTTAACGAAGTGGGCACTACTCTTTGAATGCTTGTGTCACAGTCCATTTGTCAGTCTTTAAACTTTAAACAATCACAGGGCTTTTTGCTGTTTCTGGATGAAGGATTATGTTTAGTTGCTGGAGAGCCTGGTTCAAATTATGATGGAGCTGAAAAGAATTTGGATAGGCTCACAAAAGGGTTCAACTTTGCCACATTAAGAGGATTCTTAGCATATAATTCTTCAGATTACAGTCAGCTCTTGGTATCTGCCAGGAGATGGATCCAGGACACACTGTGGATACCAAAATCTGTGGATGCTCAAGTCCCATTATGTACAAGGCACAGTGAAGTGGATTCCCTTATAAAAATGGCAAAATCAAAGTTTGCTTTTGGAATTTTTACAAAAACATTTTCAAGCTATGTCTGGTTGAATCCGAATATAGAAGACCAATTGTACATAGGTACATCATAGGCCTCTCATAATAGCTTCCTTTGGGTGTTACAACAGACAGGCAGTGGCCAGTTCTTTTAGCCAAGTTCATAAGACCGGGTACCTTCCAGACAGGTCCTATATCTCAGGATCTGATCCCAGGTTTTCTGTTTATCCCAGATTATCTGGCAGTGTGGACTCATATAGTCCTGTTTAAAGCAAAAAAAAAAGCCTGGAATCAGATCCCGTGATACAGGGCCCTGGGTGTATTTTAAGGGAGCTAATAAACTGCACAGACCTACTCTCTTCACATGCAAAAATGACCCATGCAATTGTGCATCCTGGCTTATTCTTTGCCCAGAATTAATATTACTCGTAATACCAATGTCCCTCTGTCCTCATGTACATTGCGTATTTGTGGAGAGACAAATTCGAGATGAAAAAGAGGCATTTTCGTGTGAAACCAGGTAGGGGCGAAAAGCTTCCCTATCCCACAAGGAAGTTTCATAGTGCCTCCCATAATCCATGCCCACTTCTGTTGCTTCCTCTCAAGTCTTGCTCATCTCTTGCTCATGTCTGCCCACTCTCACATGAGCCAACAATGTCATTTGGCAGCTAAAAAAAGCCAATAGGATTTTGGCCTGCATAAACAAGAGTCTAGTGTCTAGATCCAGGGATATCATGCTACCCCTCTATTCTGCCTTGGTCAGACCACATATGGAATACTCTGTCCAATTCTGGGCACCACAATTGAAGGAAGATGTTGACAAGCTAGAATGTGCCCAGAGGAGGGTGACTCAAATGAGCAAGAGTCTGGAGAATAAGCCCTATGAGGAGTGGCTTAAAGAGCTGAGCATGTTTAGCCTGCAGATGAGAAGGCTGAGAGGAGACATGATGAGGGCCATGTATCAATATGTGAGGGGAAGTCATAGGGAGGAGGGAGCAAGCTTGTTTTCTTTTGCCCTGGAGACTAGGACATGGAACAATGGCTTCAAATTACAGGAAAGAAGATTCCACCTCAACATGAGGAAGAACTTCCTAACTGTGAGAGCTGTTCAGCAGTGGAACTCTCTGCCTTGGAGTGTGGTGGAGGCTCCTTCTTTGGAGGCTTTTAAACAGAGGCTGGATGGCCATCTGTCAGGGGTGATTTGAATGCAATATTCATGCTTCTTGGGAGGAGGTTGGACTGGATGGCCCATGTGGTCTCTTCCAACACTATGATTCTATGATTCCAACTTTGCCTGTGCCCAGGCGCCCTTCCCAGAGGCACCACCCTGCACTCTTTTGCACTCTGGGCCCTTATAGACCAGTGTTTCTTAACCTGGGGGTCGGGACCCTTGGGGGGTGGCAAAGGGGTGTCAGAGAGGTCGCCAAAGACTATCGGAAAATACAGTATTTTCTGTTGGTCATGGGGATTCTGTGTGGAAAGTTTGGCCCAATTCTATTGTTAGTGAGGTTCAGAATGCTCTGATTGTAGGTGAACTATAAATCCCAGCAGCTACAACTCCCAAATGTCAAAGTCTATTTATCCCATTTAACCTGTGTTCACATTTGGGCATACTGAATATTCAGGCCAAGTTTGGGCCAGATCTATAATTGTTTGAGTCAACAGTGCTCTCTGGATGTAGGTGAACTACAGCTCCCAAACTCAAGGTCAATGCCCGCCAGACCCTTCCAGTACTTTCTGTCAGTCATGAGAGTTCTATGTGCCAAGTTTGGTTCAATTCCATCATTGGTGGAGTTCAGAATGCTCTTTGATTGTAGATTAACTATAAATCCGAGCAACTACAACACCCAATGACAAACTCAATCCCCTCCCCAACGCCACCAGTTGGGCGTATGGGGCATTTGTGCCAAATTTGGTACAGTGAATGAAAATATATCCTGCTGCATATCAGATATTTTCATGACGATTCATAACAGGAGCAAAATTACGGTTATGAAGTAGCAACGGAAATAATGTTATGGTTGGGRGGTCACCACAACATGAGGAAGTGTATGAAAGGGGTGGCGGCATTAGGAAGGTTGAGAAACGCAGTCATAGACACTTTGAGCGGCCCCCTCTCTTTCCTTCTCTCCCAGAGAGAATTGGGGGGGGGGAGAGAGAGAGAGAGAGAGWGTGTGTCTCCTACCTGCTTACCTGCTGGCTCCTCCTCCTTTCTTCTGCCTCCGCCGGAGGAGGGGAGGCGCGCGAAGCGACGGAGCCAGAGGACGCGCCCGCTCACAACTTTCTCTCCAGCTTTGGCTTCTACTTTGCGCGCTGCTTCCCGCAGCCCCAGCCATGCACTTGCTGGCCAAGCCGACCCGGCTCTGCGCCTTGCAAAAGCGGGACTCCCCCGTGCAAAGGGAACGCTCCTAGAGGCTTGGAAGAGGAGCGGGAGGGAGGAGGTCCCTCCGTCCAGGTAAGGATGGAGCGCCGCGGTGCCACTGGGGCTGAGAGTGGGGCGCAGGACCCGGACGGGGAGGCTTCCTCCCAGAATCTAAGAAGCCCTTTGCAAGAGGGAGTTGTCTTGCAAAGGGACTCTTTGATTCTGGATGGCCTGTAAAAGAGCGCGGAGGAGAAAGAAGCAGGAGAAGCCCCGGAGGTGTGGAGGGAGGGTGCGCTCCCAAACCCTGGAGACTCGTTTGGCAGGAAGGCTCTCTGGGCACACACACACACAGACACCACTTGGGTCAGGCAGACGAGGCATGAAATGTGCAACAAGTGTGTTTGAAAGAATAGGTTCGGAGCTGTGAGTTTTCCGGGCTGTATGGCCAAGCTCCAGAAGCATTCTTTCCTGACGTTTCACCCACATTTGGGAGTTGTAGTTGCTGGGATTTGTTGTTCACCTGCACTCAAAGAGCATTCTGAACTCCACCAACGATGGAATTGAACCAAACTGAGCACACACAACTCCCACAACTGACAGAAAATACTGGAAGGGTTTGGTGGGCATTGGTCTTGAGTTTGGGAGTTGTAGTTCCAGAATAGATTCAAGAACCTGTGTGGAGGGTGTGTGCCTGTCAAATTTGCAAAAAGTATTTTCCCATGTTGCTTCCCAGACCTCCTCCCTCCAAAAAAACTTATTTAGGACTCAGTGGATAAGGTAGGGCAACAGCCAAGTGTACACTCTTTGAAACTTTGGAGTCTAGGACAGTGATCTTATTCCTAATTTACCCAATTTCATCCAATCATAGAGTTGGAAGAGACCTCTTGGGCCATCCAGTCCAACCCCATTCTGCCAAGAAGAAGGAAAATTGCATTCAAAGCACCCCCGACAGATGGCTATCCAGCCTCTGTTTAAAAGCCTCCAAAGAAGGAGCCTCCACCACACTCCAGAGTTTCACTGATGAACAGATATATAATTTGCTTGGGAAATGATATGCATATCTGTCCATGTTTCTACACAAACATACACACACACAACCTGAATAGATTAAATTATTGATTTCTTATGCAGAGTAAACCTAACACTGTGCGAAAACTGGGTTGTTGTAAGTTTTTCAGGCTATAAGGCCATGTTCTAGAAGCATTCTCTCCTGACATTTCACCTGCATCTATGGCAAGCATTCTCAGAGGTTGTGAGGAAACTTTTCAAATTTGTCCAATGATGCTTGCCTTGAAATGAAAACTACCATTGAGAAACAGGGGAAATTGGACAGAGTGGCTGCAGTTAGAAAAGGGGGGATGGCCACGATAGAAATAGCTAAGGTCAGGATAATTTGCATACTTATTTGGGAACAAGCTTCTTTGAGTTCAAGGGTTATTGCTTCTGAGCAAATGTGCTTTGGACTAGGCTTGACAGGATGAACTGCAGACCGTTCAGTTCTCCTCAAGCAGGTAAGGTGCTCTTACTTCAGCCTCTAGTGTGCTGTCTGATCATACTGGGCTATGTGTTCTCAAAGGCTTTCATGGCCAGAATCACTGGGTTGCTGTGAGTTTTCCAGGCTGTATGGCCATGTTCCGGAAACATTCTCTTCTGACCTTTTGCACACATCTATGGCAGGCATTCTCAGAAGATGCCTGCCACTGATGTGGGTGAAATGTCAGGAGAGAATGCTTCTGAAAAAATGATCATACAGCCCGGAAAATTCACAGCAACCCATAATGGGCTACTTTACAAGGTTGCTGTAATGTTTACTGAATGAATGGCTGTGTTTTATACAGCTGGATGAACATGTACTGAGTGAGACAATTTACTTGTCAAAATGCTGTTATGCTGCTTTATCTCTTCAGCTTTGTCCTCGTGTCCATTTGGGTGAATGAGAATAAACATGCAAGCACAAATCTAGGGCCTAAATCAGTGTTACTCAACCTGGGGGTCGGGACCCCTAGTGGGGGGTCATGAGTGTGGTTTCAGAGAGGCCACCAAAGACCATTAGAAAACACATGTTTCTGATGGTCTTAGGTACCTCTTTGGCAGAGAAGGCTGAAGATCTCTCAGCCTGTCCTCCTCTTCCTTTTTGGAAAAAGGCAGTGAATCCCTCCTACCAAAAGCTTTCCTCCTGCTCCCTGGATATAGGTGAACTACAACTCCAAAACTCAAGGTCAATGCCCAGCAAATTCTTTCAGTATTTTCTGTTGGTCATGGGAGTTCTGTGTACCAAGATTGGTTCCATTCCATCATTAGTGGAGTTCAGAAAGTTCTTGGATTTTAGGTGAACTCTAAATCTCAGCTACTACAACTCACAAATGTCAATGTCTATTTTCCCCAAACTCCACCAGCATTCACATTTGGGCATATTGAGTATTTGTGCCAAGTTTGGTCCAGATCCATCATTGTTTGATTTCACAGTACTCTCTGGATGTAGATGAACTACAACTCCAAAACTCAAGGTCAGTGGCCACAAAACCCTTCCAGTATTTTCTGTTGGTCATGGGAGTTCTGTGTGCCAAGTTCGGTTCAATTACATCATTGATGGAGTTCTCTTTGACTGTAGGTTAACTATAAATCCCAGCAACCACAACTCCCAATGACAAAATCAATCCCCCTCCCCAACCCCGCCAGTATTCAAATTTGGGTATATTGGGTATTTGTGCCAGATTTGGTCCAGTGAATGAAAATACATCCTGCATATCAGATATTACATGACTATTCATAACAGTAGCAAAATTACAGTTATGAAGTAGCAACAAAAATAATTTTATGGTTGGGGGTCACCACAACATGAGGAACTGTATAAGGGGTCACGGCATTAGGAAGGTTGAGAACCACTAGTCTAAATGGATCTGTGGTGATGGCATTGGACCCCATCTCAAGCTGTGAGGAGAGATGTGTAACAAATAAATAAATATGATGGTGATGATCTGCATACCAAAAACTTCAGTGTATTTAAGCAGCTGACTTCAGTGGAGTAACATCTGCTCGCAACCCTCTCTTCTTTCATGAACTAGGAAACTTCAGGTACGGTTGAGAAATGACCAAATGCAGATAATTCAACCATTCAGATAATTCATGAACATTAGTAACAAATGGAGTGAGTGGGTGCATGGGTGTGCAATGCAGTCACCAGACAGCATGCATGTGGGCTTGTGCTGTCCTCTGCATGTTCACAAATGTGTCATGTCTGTTTGCTGACTTAATCATGTATATTTTTGGCAGTTACATAGTTGCTAGTAGTGTTGTTTGGGAACTTGAACCTTAAAATGAAATAGTGCCAGAACAGTCATGCTAAAAAGAGAGATTGTTGCCACAGGTGGCATTCTCAGCTGATCCGCATCTTCTGTGAACACTTTCGCAGTATGTTTGAATCTTCAATATTGCTCTTATTGGGTAGAGTCAGAATTTAGGAGGAAAGGAGGAGCCAAGGCCTTCGTTTTACACAAGGGTTTATATGTTTTCAAAAAGCCTGTCCGTAGGTACTTGATTCTTGGCATGACTTTATGCAACTGTCTGCTGGAGGTATTAGTCTAAGTCAGTGGATTTCATTTCCCATAAGCTGCATCGGGCCTGGCCAATGATAAGGGAATAGCGAGTTGTAGATAATAATTGCACCAGCAAGATTCCAGCCACAGTTTACTACATCTGGAGGGCCAAAGGTTGCTCATCCTTGCTCTAAATAAATAACCCTAACCCAACTACCTTATTGACGAAACTATCATTGTGGGAAGCGTTGAGGAGCTGTTTCTCTGGAGCAAAGGCCTTCTTTTTCACACAGAGATGTAATTAATGTATTGTCCAAAAGCAACCGTATGTATTACCAGTGCCTTCTTTACCTGTCTTCATATAGTTGTCTGCTCTAGCTTATCAAACCACCGTGCAGGTGGGGTCATCTTAGATGCTTTGGACTTTATCTTGCAGGAGCCCCAGTCAAGACAGCCAATGGTAATAGAACATGTGGACTATTGTTTTCTATACACCAGGAAGGCCAAAGTTTCCACACCCTTGCTCTAAAACAATCTCCCTAATGGTGCAACCCCTTAATACAGTTCCTCATATTGTGGTGACCCCTTGCCATAAAATTATCTTTGTTGCTATTTAAAACTCTAATTTTGCTACTGTTAGGAATCATAATGTAAATACCTGATATGCAGAATGTATTTTCATTCACTGGATCAAATTTAGCACAAATACCCGATATACCCAACTTTGAATACTGGTGGGGTGGGGGGACGAATTGATTTTGCTATTTGGGAGTTGTAGTTGCTGGAATTTATAGTTCATCTACAATCAAAGAGCATTCTGAACTCCACCAACGATGGATCTGGACCAAACTTGTCACAAATCCCCACTATGCCCAAATGAGAGCACTGGTAGAGTTTGGGGAAAATAGTCCTTGACCTTTGAGAGTTGTAGTTTCTGGGACTAATAGTTCACTTAAAATTCTGAACCCCACCAACAATAGAATTGGGCCAGACTTCCCGCACAGAACCCCCATGCTTTGCTGGCATGAGCCTCCCTACAACCTCACATGCTCTCCCTCACCTGCACCTGCACATCACACTGCCATGTGACGAGCATGCCTGCTCTCCTATTCTCGCGTGGAATCGCAGAAACAGCCCTCTCCTTAGTTGAGAGGGTAGTTGAGAGGCTGGCCAGTTACAGTGGAGGAGGGCTATTGGTGGGAGGATTCACAGAATGTTTCCAGAAAGGAAGAGGTGGACAGGTGGAGAGATCTTCAGCCTTTTCTGCTAAAGGGTTTCCTAAGACCATCAGAAATATATGTTTTCTGATAGTCTTTGGTGACTCCTCTGAACCCCCCTTGCGACCCCCCCCCCCCGGGTCATGGCCCCCAGGTTGAGAAACACTGTCGTAGACCCTCCAGATGCTTTGAACTTTATCTTGCAGGAGCCCCAGGGTTCTTCCACGCAGCCATATAACCATGTTTTAATAGTTTTTATATGTGTTTTATATTGTTATGTTGACTGTTTTTAATCGCATTTTTATGAATGCATGGCATCGAATTGTGCCAATCTGTAACC